CTGGCTTGGGACAGGCCCAGGGACCGCCACTTGGCCGCGTGGACGGGTCTCCTGGACCCTCTAGGGGACCCCCTAGGGGCGGGCATCGGCATCGCGAGGTGGGGAGGGCAGGTGGCAAGAGCGACGGGGTGGGAGTGGTGCTGGGGGCTCGGGAGCTGGCCAGGCCGTCCTGACACCGCCTCCCGGCAGCCCTGTCCACCCTGGACGGCGACCTGGCCGGCAGGGCATACGCACTCAAGAGCATGACCGAGGCGGAGCAGCAGCAGCTCATCGACGACCACTTCCTCTTCGACAAGCCCGTGTCGCCCCTGCTGCTGGCCTCCGGCATGGCCCGCGACTGGCCCGACGCCCGCGGCATCTGGTGGGCCCCCTCCCCGCCTGGCCCTGTCCCCCTCTCCTCTTCCTTCCGCCCCTGGGGGATGGGGCCCACCAAGCCGAGTGTGGTGCCAGGCACCCTAGTCCTCTGCTCTGGTGACCTTGGCCATGCAGGTGGGGCAGGGACCCACAGCGCAGGCCGCCTGGGATCTCAGAGGCGGGCCTTGCCGTCTCTCCTTTCCCTCCCCCGGGAGCCAGAGCTGCTTGCCTGCTCTCCTTCCCCCTCCCCTGGGTTCTGCCAGGGCCGGCTGACGCACAACCCTCCCAAGGAGCCGTCTCCGTGGCTTCGGCACCCAGAGGCGGGCACCCTCCCCCACCCCGGGTCAGGAGACCTGGGCTCCCCCCAGCTCAGGCTGCAGCAGGTGCCTGGCAGTCGGGTGCAGCCCTGCGCTGTCTCCACACCCTCTGCGAGGTGTCCTGGTCTCCCGGCCTCCCCGGTGCCCATGGGGCTGAGGTCCTGGCCGCACGCAGCCTGCCCGTGCTGCCCTGGCTTGACAGCTGTCCCTCTGCCAGGCACAATGACAGTAAGACCTTCCTGGTGTGGGTCAACGAGGAGGACCACCTGCGCGTCATCTCCATGCAGAAGGGGGGCGGCATGAAGGAGGTGTTCACTCGCTTCTGCAACGGCCTCACCCAGGTCTGACCCACCCTCAGGCCCCGGCCCCGCAGAGGGCAGGCACCTGGAGTCCCGCCAGCCCTCCCAGCTGGCCCCTTGGGGAGCTCAGCCAGGTCTCCCCTCTCATACCCCTTCCCCACCTCCAGATTGAAACTCTCTTCAAGTCCAAGAACTACGAGTTCATGTGGAACCCCCACCTGGGCTACATCCTCACCTGCCCCTCCAACCTGGGCACGGGGCTGCGAGCAGGTGTGCACATCAAGCTGCCCCACCTGGGCAAGCACGAGAAGTTCTCGGAGGTGCTCAAGCGGCTGCGGCTGCAAAAGCGAGGCACAGGTGAGAGGGGTGGTGCAGCAGGACCCCCAGGGCCAGCTCCTGCCCTCCCACCCTGGTGACTGCTGTCCCCCTATCCCCAGGCGGCGTGGACACGGCTGCTGTGGGCGGGGTCTTCGACGTCTCCAATGCAGACCGCCTGGGCTTCTCGGAGGTGGAGCTGGTGCAGATGGTGGTGGACGGGGTGAAGCTGCTCATCCAGATGGAGCAGCGGCTGGAGCAGGGCCAGGCCATCGACGACCTGGTGCCTGCCCAGAAGTGAGCTAGTGCCGCGCCAGCCGCTGCGTCCTAACTTATTCCCGGGCAGCGCCCACCACGCACCCCCGGTGCCCGCCGCCCGGCAGCTGAGCCCTTAGCCTCGCTGGAGACACTCCTGTT